CACCCTATTATGAGGGTATATAAAAGATTATATAAAAAAGAGAGTGTACATGTAGTATAATCCTATATTTTTAACTACTGGCATTCTTAAGGAATGAAGTTGTTTGTGAAAAAAATATTATATTAATAAAGAATTTTTTTTTTTCCAAAATTACATGAGCGATTGAGTTGATGCATTGTTAATCGGATCATCAAATGCTAATAATTTGATCTTTAGAATTTCCAATGTTGGCACCAGATATTGCAGTACACATTATTAACATCATCGACGATCAAGATAACATTAGATTCAACTAAAAATTATTAATTATAACTTCGACCTTTCAATTTGAGGCTCAATGAAACAAAATATGCAAATATCACATCATTCGATACCTATCTTAATGCTTGCACGTAAGAGTTTCAACAACACTAAAAGACTTCAATTTTAAGATAATTCGAATTCTCAAATCTTCCTGGCCAACTTGATTGAGATGTGTGTACCAAATATTCACTTTCGATTTCAAATTATCCATTATTTTATATTTAAAACAAAATTTGGGAGAAACGCCAAAATTAGTAGTAAAAAATTGACCCAACTTAACGTCCGCTACGTAGGGTAACAAGCCGGAATTCTGAACTCCTAATATTATAGATAGAAAAATGACATCCACTTTTGTGAAATCTCGCACGCTCTGAACTGAGATCTAAACCCTTTTATTGTTGTGTGTGTACATAAATCATACCAATCTTGGGTCTTCTTAGATTCGTTTTCGTATCAAATTTCTAATTTGTTTGAGTAACCATTTCAAATAATCCATTTTGGATCTGTCCAGTTCGCTACTCCATTCCTGTAAGCACATACTACAACATGGTTGCATTTTTTTTTTTTTTTAGGAATTGAATGCAAGTATGGGTTTTTTCTTGCAATGGTGTTGATTCTTATGCTCTTAATTGTGGTTATAGTTAAATGTTACTGCACTGACATTGCTTAAACTGTTACGAAAGTGTTACATAATTTGGAGTTTGTAGATCTGCGTTGTGGAACTTGTTTTACCAAAAAAGATTGCGTTTTAATGTATTTTGGAATTCGGGTTAACAGTATCGTTGCTTAAAGATACAACCGTGGAGGGCTTTATGTTATGAAAAGAAAGAAGGGGATGAATAATACCATGTTTTGATAATTCGAAAATGAATGCTTTACTTAAATCATGCAATGTTACACTTGCTATAGGTAGGTTGTAATTAATGGAATCCACTGAATTTCACTTAATTGGTTTCCGGTTTCACCTTAAAAGCTACTAAAGACGTTTGTATCCTGCTGTGGTTATGTATATCAGCTACTTGCACAAGTTACCGAAGAATCAAGTTAGTCATGTACTGTTTGTTAGTTAATAATCTTGTCAATGTTATATGTTGGTTGAGATTCTCTCTTTTTGGATCTTTAAGTGTTTTTTTTCTAATTTATGTCGAAGTTGTAATTTTAATCTATATCAAATTAAATTCAATTTCTGGAATTGTGAAAATAACTCAGTTAAGGTAATTTGTTTGAACATTTTAACTAATCAGGCTTCGGTTGCTTTGGGAATTTATTTGTGTGTTGCTTTTTATCATTGCAGTTCTTTGTATAACTTTATTATCATATGGCACCTTACTACGAACATGATCTGACTGTTTAATCTGCCAAGTGTCACTGTAAAATATTTAAGTTTCTTGACTGTGTAATCATGATCACACGTGGTTGAATCAGGTGATCCTCAGTCTTGGAAAGGTTAAATCTCACGAAGGTGGTTGTTGACTATATAAAATTTTTCACACCTAGTGTTGTGATTGTTTCAAATATATATTGGAATGTACTTTCTGAATGTTGTCTATTTGATTTCAAATGTTTTCCATCATCCTCTATTTTTTTTGTAGATTGCTCTGAGTGATATCTGCTCAGTCAACAAACCTGTGGAATCTCAGTATTGGAATTAATTGTGTAATCCATAAGATCTTAACTTTGAGGTGGAAGTAGAAGCTGAAGGTGTTCTGAGAGACATTGAAGCTGGATAAATGACGAAGGGGAGATCAGATGTAGGGCAGAAGAAGCGCTTGTTAACTTATGTGTGTATTGTGGCATTGCTTCTTGTTTTTCTGTACATGTTTTGTGGCTCAAAGGATGCAGGCAAGTCTGCATTATTGTATGGCAGCCAGTCTTTGAGAAAACTAGGGTCATCCTATTTGAGCGGTGATGAAGATTCTGATACTGGTGGTAAGCAGGACGAATCTTCTATGAAGTTTGGGCTGGATGATGGAGAGGATGTCATCTACCCTAAGAGCTTCCCTGTAAGCCTTTTTACTATTAATCGCATTGAGCACAAATTAACTTTCCAGTTCTGCCCGCTTACCCACATGCAAATGGCTGCTTAAGGAAGAAAATGAAGGGCCCAGTTCTTGCATTTTGTTGTTGCTCTTGTTTCATTTAATTTATTAACTGTTCTCTCTTATTAATTTGAAGGTCTGTGATGACCGCCATTCGGAGATAATTCCCTGTCTTGACAGACATCTTATATATCAAATGAGATTGAAATTGGATCTAAATTTGATGGAGCACTATGAAAGACACTGTCCTTTACCTGAAAGGCGGTACAATTGCTTAATTCCTCCGCCTCTAGGATACAAGGTGAGGCCTTGCTGAGGCTGTAGGTAGCACAAATTTGTTGAAGTATTCGTTGTGTGGAATTCACTTAACCTTCCAATCCATGCCTATTCCTCTTTTTCTGGGTTACAGATTCCAATTAAGTGGCCAAAGAGTAGAGATGAAGTTTGGAAAGCAAACATACCTCATACTCACCTTGCACACGAGAAGTCTGATCAGAACTGGATGGTTGTGAAAGGCGATAAGATTCAATTTCCTGGAGGAGGGACTCATTTTCATTATGGAGCGGATAAGTACATTGCTTCTATCGCTAATGTAAGCTTTCTGGCTCACAAGTACTCTTCAATCACCTGATGAAATATAGGTTTGATGAATAAAATTTTCTTATTTTGTAGTCGTATTGAGATATCATTTGTTTGCGTGGTGTCACTCATGTTCGCCAATTTTACTTCTGATTATAATAATGATTTGCATTCCACAGATGCTGAACTTTTCAAACAATAACCTGAACAATGAGGGACGTTTACGGACAGTTTTTGATGTTGGTTGTGGTGTTGCAAGTTTTGGGGCTTACCTTCTTTCATCAGATATCATTGCAATGTCATTAGCACCTAATGATGTGCACCAAAATCAGATTCAATTTGCTCTGGAAAGAGGAATTCCTGCTTATCTTGGTGTTCTTGGGACAAAGAGGCTTCCTTACCCAAGCAGGTCTTTTGAACTTGCTCACTGTTCTCGTTGTAGAATTGATTGGCTCCAGAGGGATGGGCTTCTTCTTCTTGAATTGGATAGGTTGCTTAGACCTGGAGGTTATTTTGCCTACTCGTCCCCTGAAGCATATGCACAGGATGAAGAGGATCTAAGAATATGGAGAGAGATGAGCACACTTGTGGAACGCATGTGTTGGAGAATTGCTGCAAAAAGGGACCAAACTGTCATTTGGCAAAAGCCCTTGACAAATAACTGTTATTTGGAAAGAGAACCAGGCACTCGCCCGCCTCTCTGTGGATCTGATGATGATCCCGATGCAACCTGGGGTGTGCTAATGGAGCCATGCATTACACCTTATTCTGACCGTAAGTATCTCGTATGATTTAGTGAGTGTTTGACACCCATTTTAATGGGTTGAAAAAATTTGGAATAGTGATTGATTGGAGAATGTGTGGTTGAAAAGTGATGAAAAATTTTATATTTGTGTGTAATGTGGAGATTGTGTGGTTGAAATGAAAAAAGAGAAGGAGAATGAAAAAGAGAATGGGTGCCAAACAGGGGCTTATTATTCATTTGCATTTATAATCCAACAGAGAAAAATTATGAGGAAAGAGATGGATTTCAGTGTTCTCTAATCAGTTTCTAAAGGGCACCTTCAATATCTGGGTAATGACTGGAATATTGGTTATTATAAAAATATCAAGACGTTGAAATTGGGACAATACTTCCTCTAATTTAATTGGATGTCCAAGGTAAACTTGGAAAGAGCTTTTAGAAGAGAGTTGAGATGTGCATTTTTATCTTCTATCACTTTGACCCCTCGATGGTGATGTCAACTGAAATGTGGCCTGGCCATGCATTTGATCTTTGAAATGATAATATTGTTTTGTTAGTGAAATTTTAGGAAAGGACACTTTGAGGATGAGTCCGTTTGAGAGAATGGACATTATTATGAGAAATTCCTAAAGAAAGAGCATATGCAATTTTGACACAAAGGAGTAAACGATGATTCATTAATCTTGAGGTTAACTGTTAATTGGCTTTTCTACTTGGGGCATGGAGTGCACAGTCTGAACTTGGCCTTTGAAGCAATTAACTCCAGGTTGTCTACCATTATTTCAAAACCATTTTTTTCTCAAACTCATTTTCAACTACACATTCTCATAATATACTATTTTGCACGTAAACTCAAAACTTTTTCCTACTTTTTAATTGCACATTCTCAAAAAATTCACTATTTCAAAACTCATTTTCCTACTTTAATGGTAGACAAACAGGGGCTGAGTTTCTTTCTTTGCTCTTCATTGATACCAAGCTCATATTTAAAGACAATTACAAACAAAATTTTCAACTCTGTATTCCTTTTTAGGTTTTTCCCTGTACAAAATGTGTCCATCCAGGATGGTGTGAATGATTATAAACTTGGGTTTCTTGCTACTTGATAGATGACTGGTGGTATTTTGTCTTTATGGCCTATTTTTACGTAAGTGAAATACATTCTTTGATTTTTTTATTTTTTTTTTACATGTTCGTGGGATCTGTGTTGGTTTAGGCTTACATAAATGGGGTAAATGGTAACATCTATAGCTGCTTGAAATTGTTGTTGCTTATCATGAAGTTGACGATTATGTTCTTTAATATTATTTCTATTATCTGAAATGAAATTTATATTCTGTTTCTGGTATTTTCTATTTTCTGGTATTTTCTATTTTCTTTTCTATTTGAAGACTTAAAATACGTTGTACTGTGCAGCATGCATTAGTTTTCACCTTGTTGTATTCTTATATACAAAAATGCTGAAAGCGTTAATATTATGTGACCCTCACCATTCAGGGCCTCAGGCAGCAGCCTATGCTGCCTATAGTCATGGCCGACCATGATAATAACTGCCATGGACTTCTCAAGTTCATTTCTGTGATGAAATTTAGTTTTATTAATGGTTGTATGACAACATTCTTCATTTAGTTTTTAAACTTCGTTTTCTAATTTTTTTTATTCGTCAACAGATGATCACGACACTAGAGGCAGTGGACTGGAACCATGGCCTGCCCGACTAACTTCTCCTCCTCCTCGTCTTGCTGATTTTGGCTATTCGAATGAAATGTTTGAGAAGGATATGGTAATTGGACGTCTTTTCTTATATCTGCTTGTTCTATGCTGTGCTATTTCCTTATGTACAGTCATGATAAACCAAAAACTGTTCCAACTAGGAAATGTTTTTGCATGCAGGAACTTTGGGGGCGAAGGGTCGAGAATTATTGGAATCTCTTGAGTCCAAAGATCTCTTCAGACACTCTGAGAAACGTGATGGACATGAAGGCAAACTTGGGGTCATTTGCCGCTGCATTGAAGGATAAGGATATGTGGGTTATGAATGTTGTCCCTGAAGATGGACCCAAAACACTTAAGATCGTGTACGATAGAGGGTTGATAGGCACAGTTCATAACTGGTATGTGAATATTTATTGTTATATACCGTCTTTATGTGGATGTTATCAACTTATGTTTTATTGTCCCTTATCATTTGGTTATACACTCTTCTAAGTTTTTAACATGGCTCCACGGATACTTCTACATGCCATATGCCGTGAATTTTTCTATCTCCTTGAAGAAAAATGCTAAAATCTCTTTCATTATAGTGTCTACTCTTACCTAGTATTGCTTACGATCATGACCAAAGACATAATTCGGAAGTTGGATTGTCTGAATCTAACTCATTACAGGTGTGAAGCCTTCTCAACATACCCTAGGACTTACGATTTGCTCCATGCTTGGACCGTGTTTCCTGACATTGAGAAGAAAGGCTGCAGTGGTGAGGATCTACTACTTGAGATGGATCGTATTCTCAGGCCTGCTGGTTTTATCATTATCCGGGACAAACAACCAGTTATCGAGTTTGTAAAGAAGTATTTGACTGCATTGCACTGGGAAGCAGTTGCAACAGGTGATTCCACTTCAGATCCTGGCCAAGATGGAGACGAGTTGGTGTTTGTCATCCAAAAGAAACTGTGGTTTACGAGCGTAAGCTTCAGAGATACAGAGTAGACGAAGAAATCGAATAGTTGATTTACGGCCCTATTCTTGGGATTTAAGAAAGCATATTCCAAGATTTGAGGGGAAAATGATTTCTTTCTGCAACAAGAAAGTGACATTCATCTTTCTTTTTTAATTATATTCTTTTCTGATTTAGGTGACAAGCCATAGAACACTTTTCTTTATAGGTTATTCTCAATTGTTTGATTTTATAAAATTACTGTTGGGAATAATTGCAGACATTGCCAAATGATCAATAACTCTATAGGAAATGTGCACCAAATTATGAATTTGTTAATCTAGTTTTTTGACTAATTACTAATTAGTATCAAAATTGGCAGTATCATGGATCGATATAGAGACGGCAACTTCAATGTGATATCGGTTCCATGGAGTCATTTATATGGGAAAAATGGGGCCACCTTTACCTTAACGTCGATCTTAGAAAGTGGTGGAATGTAAAGATTTAACTGGATCCGTCAAATCAACATAACTTGTGGGTTGCCTTGTGAATTTATAAACATTTTAGACATTTCGATTTTAAAAATTAATTTTACTCAAAATAGCTTTTACATACTGAAACACAAATGGTAAAATCGCATCTATTATATGCATTTCCAGTAAGAGAAAATTTAGATGTTACAGGTTGTGTGGAAGAAAAATAAGAAAAGTGATAAAAAATTCGAATGCTCTCGTTGAGAGTCGAACTCAAGACCTCCCGCTTACTAAACGGGTGCTCTAACCAACTGAGCTACGAGAGCACTTGGGGAGGAGCAACATTCTTTATATTTTAATCAATATGACAATTGTGTGGAAATTTATAAATTTCGGAAAGTACCCTCTCCTCTCCTCGCCCTCTCGAGCTACTCCAGAATATAACATGCAGGTAATTAAATTTTTTTTGAATCAAATTGTCACTATTATCGGCGTGATATAGGCGAGTAACGGATTCAATATAAACTCACACGGTTCGAGCACTTACAAGCTAAAAATGTTGGAACAGGCCACGTTGACTTGATCGATTGTTAGTTTCCTCTCAAAATTACAAAAAACTTCATCGTCTCGTTAAGAAATAAATGTTTCAAACAAAAAATTCACATACTCATGTCACAACTTCAGCGACCTTAATAGACAACTTCTCAAGTATTCCTTGAGAAATTACGGGGAAAAATCAGTACTTGGTTAAAAATTGTAGTTTCGTTATAATATACTGTGCATAGTGGATTATTTGTGATGAATTAATAGACAAAAGTAATCAGTGTTATATCACTCTTTAGGTTTTAACAACAATTGTTGTTTATCATCAAGTCGTGAGTTTTATATCATATCGTACTGTATACATTCCCATGCATGAGTCAGACGAAGAAATATATAGTGTGTGAAAGAGACACAATGAATGGAAATATGGGCGTCGAGTTGAATATTACACTTACAAATTGTTGGTTACCTCAGGTTAAATTAAGTTACTTTTGAATGAGAAAGTACTCGGTATTTATATGAGCAAAGTGCACAAGAGATGCTTTCGGATACTTGGTTGGCACATTGTTTCATCCTAACGACTCACTTGTTATATTCAATTGTGTCAATTCATAGCCATCATAGGCCTGTGATTCACGGACCCATAAAGTACGCTGAGTAGTTATAATTCGACAGGATGTATCACTATAGAGTTGTCACATCAATCATTTTGTGCAGTGTGTAATCTGTGTAGTGCCGAGACGAAATTTGCAGCAGATGCCCTTTGCTTTAGTTATGTACTGCAGTGACGAGGTGATGCTTCGCCTTGAATAACAATATTATTTTGAGCGAGGCATCTAAAGGCAAAGCGTAATCGGCTAGGAAAAGGCAATGCAAAGTGAAGCGCCGACCTCGTGTGACTTATTGTTTAGCTGGTTGTCAAAGTAACCTGCCTCGTAGACAAAGATGTAAAAATACCGTTGATGGCTTTTATAGTGCTTGGATCTTGGTTGTCAAATTGGAGATCGAAAAGGTTGGAGAAACAATCATCTCATTGACTAGGTTAAATATTCTTTTTGGTCCTCTCTCGCAAAGACATGGCTGCATTTTGTTGTTTGACTAGGCATATTCGATGATGGAGCGTTAACCTCGTAAGATCTTCTATATTGGTAGCTGAATGTTTAGACCGATGTATTTTTCCAGATCGGAAGAATAGGAAGGGAAGTTGTTCGTTGTCATTAGTATTGTGATCCAACTTGTTGAAAACGAAATTTCTAGCAACAATTTATGTCCGATAGAGAACTTGGAAATCTGCTTCTATGTTCCCATTCTTAGGTTAATCGAATATAATTTGAAACCTAGTACTGATTATCAATCTTGGTAGATCAAAAAATAATTGATCGTTAAAGCTTTTAATTTCAAACATGTTTACACAAATTAATAACTAGCAATGCTTCTTTTGTCAGGCAAGCTTTTATCATTGACCTAGGTTGTTGGTTATTGTGTGTTTTAACATTCGAAGCCATAAATAAGTGGATATAAGGACGTTTTAGCTGCTTCGATAACGCGTAGAGCAGCTAAAAAGGTTGTTTTTTAAGCACGGTCCAACATGTTTTACGTACATGAAATGTACCTTCAGAGTCTTTGAGATGAATGTTACTTGGCATTCAACCTTGGCTTTAGAAAAGGGATGGCACTTATACTTTCATGCAAATGGTGACATTTCATTCAAGTATCTGCATTCTGTTTAAGTTGTTTTACATGTCTATTCAAATTCTTATATCTACTTAATTATTTTTCTAATTGAGCAAATTTTTACTCATATTAGTATATATATATTTCACTCATTGGTTAGACCCCATATTTGAAGATCATTGAAACAAAAGGAAGTGATTTGAAGTATAAAAGGACTGAAGAATGTGAAACGAGGAAACTACTTGCAGAATACGTGAGAAAATATCGCACAAAGTTTTCTACGAAGTACTCCTAGGACAAATTGTGCATTATTGGAAAGATAATTAAATTTGAAATTCAACGTTAAAAATAGATCGCAATTTAAAGCTGTGAACCAAAATTTATGCACATTTGAAGCTCGAATGCTGAAACCACACAAAACTAGGGATTAAACCTGCAGTCGCAACAATGCATTTTGCGACTGTAACATGCGAATTTAAGGCCAAACAATGGCATGTTCGTAGCAGCTTCACTACAGTTGCAGCTCCGTTCTGCCCAGAATTGGGACTTTTAAAAAGTTTCGTAATTTGAGGACGACAAGGGCTAATTTTGGTACACAATTTTTAAGGGACTTGATGGATTATATAAAGATGAAACCTAGGTCAAGAAAAGGGGAGAAAGAAGAGAGCAAAGAGTGTAGGAGATTTTACACCGATAATGTGTATATTGTAATCATCAAGAACATGTTGTTAATATGCGTCAAATTGAAATATNCTAACGGTTTTCCGGCAATCATCTCCCAAGATACAACGACCACGTCAAGCTATAAGAGCACTCTAAATGGCTTAAACCAACGAACTTGAATAGAGTTCCCTCTCTACCATTTGATGCAAGAAATAGTCACTTCTACAAAGTGGTTTATGCATAACTAAATTAAAACATGGAATGGAATGATATGGAACTATCAATTGAATTGTTCCTCTTTCTTGTTGTTTTTCATCATAAAATCCAAACACATGGGGATCTATATATATAGTAGTTGGAAACCACACCAAGAGACACATCTCTTGAAATTAAGAATCATAATTATTGGAAGTTACTCACACCAAAAGTCATGATCTTCCATATGAAAAGATTCATCTTTTCATCTACTCATTCTCTAGAATATTCCACAATATTCTATACAATTTCCAACATTTCAAGCATTTAAGCATTTTTAGTTTGGTTTAATTTCTCATTCACCAAACAAAAAATTTCACTTAAACAATCACTTAAATTAGTCACAACCAATTTCGAATTTTCCAACAAAGAGAAAACACATCAAGATCCCCTTTTTTTTTTTTTTTTGAGAAAAATCACAGAGAGGTGCAAGGAATTTATGAAGATTCAAGCATGAAAATGTTCGAGCTCTTGGAATTGACGATTAAAGAAATTCATCCTATCGATGTCTATATCAAATTCTTCTTGTCTTGAGTTCTTCATCATAGTTCTTTACTAAATTATTTGTTAGGCCGCACGATATAACTAATTAACTTCTACTCTTGTTTTGATACAATATTTTGTGCTGGCATGACTGATTTATTTTCATGTTTCTTAATGAAATTAAATTACTTGATACTTGTTGCATGATAAATTGAGAGATTGCATGTTAGAACACTCATCTTGCATTTCAAGAATTTGTAGTTATTTCTTTTATTTATTTATTTATTTATTTGACTTATTTATGTGGTTTTACTATGTTTCTTATGCATTGCTTGAATCAAACCAAAATATAAATTGAACACAAGTAGAGTTAATTAGTGAAATCAGGACTTCTAACTATTTCTTAATTGATTTATACCTAAATACTTGCTTTCTTCATTATTATTAATTTGTGTATTTTATTTGTTCATCGGGGAACTCAAATTTAAAACCATAACTTTAATTGTATATTTTGCTCAAGTTAGTTTAAATTAAAATATAATCAATAATCAATCATCGTGGAACGATTCTCTACTAACTAATCTTGTTAATGATATGTACACTTACGGGATAAGACAACAATACATTCATATTTTAATATACCCTAAATTCTCAGCAGCGTGATGATGATTTGGTCACACTGAGAATTGGCTACAATACTATCGTCTCTTCGAATTTTGCTCGTTTACAATACAAAATTGGTATTATTTGTCTGAGTTCAACAAATGTTATACCATGAGTGATGAAGTCTTCTTTACTTACATAGTGCTCAATAGGATTGATGAGAACAATGAACAAAATTTTAACGTATTTTCCTTCTTTAATGCTATTAGGGACACGGTTCATCTACCAAACTAAATATTAGGTCATCTGGTCATCAATATTTGTGCTACTTGGCATATGCAAACAACATAGACATGGACACGAAAATCATTGCACAAGATGTATTATATATTGATATTCTTCGTATATTTGTGGTTTACAAATATATAACAAGTTACCTAAAAATTTAAACTCGTACGAGTAGACCATTCCACAAAATTGGCAAACATAAAATTAGGGCAAAAGTCAATTTGTGCCATAAAGTTTTCCCTGAAGTCAACCGTTTTTTAATAAAGATTCTGTTACTAAAAGCTCTATGACTAGAATCTCTACACACATTAGCATGTTCGATAAACCCTTAGTTTATTTTTCAGTCGATGGTGTTCCAACAAAATTTCAATAAGTTAAAAGAGTTTTACATTTGGATTGAATGACACTAATGGATTAGAGATCCTTCTCATCCATATCAAGAAACCCAACCCTACTATACAATAAAGGTCTCATCAGTTTATGAATTCTCTAGCGGTGGAAAACAAGGTAAACTTTAGCTTGCCTTCCTTTGATCCAACTGTTAATGCTAAAGGGCGCCAACCCAACACGAACCAGAGTGGACCTTTTATACAGTCATTGAATTGAAATATTCACCTTATTCTCGAGCTAACTCTTCAAATAATGTTTGCCGACCTTTCTTTTAAATCTAGATCCAATTTGCCGAATATGAAGTAATGAATCTTTGGAATCAAGAACGTTATTGGGCTTCTTTGACATCACTAAGATGAGTTTAGCCTTTCGTGACTTTGGATCAATTTTCTTACTAGCTCGAATTCTATCATTTTCTTTCTTGTGATAAATTTGTTGAGTTTTAACTTTTTATAAAATTTTTATTCTTAAAATGATAGTTATTATTAATATATTAAAAAATGCATAAATAAGAAGTATGATTGATAGGGAACATAATTAAATTATAATCATTATATGAATAATGATAAGTATTTGGCCTCATCACTACAATATGTATTATTAACTTACTATTCTATTTCTTTTAGTACTTGTGCCCCAATAATCAATTATATATATGAGAGATTGCGGGCCCTAATAATTAATAAACAACGTATTATTAAAATGAATAAAAAAATCAAATGAGCTTTATATCGCACTATGAAAGCATCCGTAGTTGGATATTCAAATGCACGATAATATTTCAAATCATTATTAAATAGTTACGGGACTCTTATGAAAGTATATCTTACTTTAAATTTTCGGAGATAGACTGTATGACTAGAATTTAAGACTAATTTGCTAATATACCAATAGATGGGGCATCAATCGTGCAATTGTCCCTAATTATTTTGTTGGAAATAAGAAAATGTTCATTTTGTGGGGTTATTTCACCGACCAACTTATTGGCAATTAAGCTAAACTTCAAGGACCAAATTTGAAATTAATTCATTCGGTTCTACATTCATTTCATTTCAATCCCTTTCCCCATTTCTGTCTCTCTCATATTTCTTCCTACACAGATCCCTCTCAAAATCAAGAATTTCCCCTTAAATTTCAATTTTTTTTAGATTCTTTCACTTTCTCTTTCACTTTTTCTATTTAATTCAACCCTCCACTTCCATTTCCACTTCCACTTCCATTTCATCCTCTATATATACATTGTAAAAAGTAATTAAATTTATTAATATTTTCTCAATTAATTTTCTCGCACCATGCAAAAACTAAACTTGGGTTTTCCGTGTCTTTCCTCCTGTTTCTCAGATTTTGACTTTTTATATACCAATATGTAGAATTTTCGTTTTCTTGGGTTTCTTTTAATTCTTTTGTTTAATGCGTTTCTTCTATTTTTAATCCATCATATCATAAATAAAAAAAAAAAAAAAAATCTCGAACTGCATTTTGAAATAATAATATTTGGCATTAGGGATTTTTGGTGTTTATATACTTTCTCGTCTTTTTTTTTTTTGTTTTTTTTTTGTTTTTGTTAATTTTCTACAATGGTTTCAAATGGATCTGAAAGGTGTTCTTGAAATTCGAAATTTTGGCTGTTGATTTGAAGAACTGTTTCGTAATGTTGGTATCGGATGATGCATTATAAAATAAATAAAAATTGATTTTTTGGGGAAATTAATTATGGATCATGTGATTGGAGCGAAGTTTAAGCTTGGGAGAAAGATTGGTAGTGGATCTTTTGGAGAGCTTTATTTGGGTAACTTTGATTTTGATTTATGAACTATAAATTGATTTTTTTAGGAGGTGTGACGTTGTTTGAAATAATTTTACTTTAATCAATTTCAGGAGTAAATATACAAACTGGAGAAGAAGTTGCCGTGAAGCTGGTTAGTATGAAAGTTCTGTAATTTTGTGAATTTAAGTTTTTATTTGGAATAATTTTTTTAATTATGCATTTATGAGTCTTTTATTGATCATTTTGCATGATTGCACTATTTATTGTGTACCAAAAATGAGCAGTATTTAATCTTAAAGGGCGATGATTGATGAATGACGAGCTTCTAGTGGTCTATCTACCTTTAGCAATTCCATTTAGTGGTTAATCGACACCTTTATTTTCTATTGTTTACCTATTGGGAATGAGTATTTGTATTTACTAAGCTAGTTCATTTGTCAAGTTTTTAGCTATTAATGAGACCTGTTACCAAATCTCTCTAGTTCAAACAATAGATATACTTCTTAGACATCAGTTTGTGCATTGATTTGTTTCAAGCTTCACTTTCTGCACCTTTTCTTTAAAGTTGTCATATCTTTTTCTCTTGAAGCAATATAATTTATTTTGTTTCCAGGAATCTGTTAAAACCAAGCACCCTCAGCTTCGCTATGAATCTAAGTTGTATATGCTTCTTCAGGGAGGAAGTGAGTAGTAGTCCTTTTCAATTCGATTGTTCCATTACTGGGTGCATACTGAAGGCAAAGCGAGTTTACCAATGCTTTTGTTTCTTGTATGAAGCTGGGATTCCCCACCTTAAATGGTTTGGAGTTGAAGGCGAATATAATGCCATGGTTATTGATCTTCTTGGGCCGAGTTTAGAAGATCTGTTTAACTATTGCAATAGGAAGCTCACATTGAAAACAGTTCTAATGCTCGCCGATCAGTTGGTGAGTATGCTACCATCAAAGAAGATTGTTTTATTGCTGTTGCACCTGCTGTCTTACCTATTGCCTTTGGTTCTATGTAGATTAATAGAGTTGAGTACATGCACTCTAGAGGTTTTCTTCACCGTGACATAAAACCCGATAACTTCTTAATGGGTTTGGGCCGCAAAGCAAATCAGGTAGATGCATATATGTTTATACTGAGTGATACTATGTTTCTTTATGTATGATTGTTTCATTTTGTTTGCTTAGGCATCTGGACTTATGTTTCTTTAGCATATCTCACTCTTCTTTAAGGCTTTTGATCACATCTGTTAAGACTATCTGAAACATAATTGTTGCAGAACATTGCCATTCGTCGGTCATTGTTGCAGTCTGTTTTATAATGTATATGGTGAGGAAAAGATAAAATGATATATGCTATAAGAGAGAGCAGTGTTTCATTGGTTCACCAAGCAAATGAATAATCACTGATACATAATGTGGTACCTAAGAAAGATTGAATCTGTGATTTACGACTGGTTTTATTGTTGATTATTTTATACATTTATGCTTGGATTTGTAAATTGTTTGGTCTGTAATTGTGTGGGCTCCATTTAAGATATTCAATCACTTAATTGACACCTAGTCAGCAGTGTAGATAGATAACATTATTCAAAATCTTTCTTGGAAAGAATCTGGGACATTTAGCCATTTCTAAACTTGATTAACCAAAATAAGAGATTATGCCTAGTATCTTTGTATAGGATTAAATTGTATAGATGTTGGAATCATTCTTTTGTGATTTAACCTTCGTAAATGGAAGATATACAAATTCACATTTATTTATCATTGCTTTTTGTACCTTTTTTCTCATGGAGTGGTTGATTATTTGACTGTATATCTTACATTCTTGCACAGCACTCAGATGATTTTCCATTTTTTAAAAATAAAAAATAAAAAGTCTTTCCTCTGATCACCAGAGGTAAGCCTGGAATTCATGCATATTAATTTTTGAAATCGGGGCGTAACTTGAATTCTTTTGTACTTTTTCATCTGCGCCTCTGCGGTACTTTGCATCAGACCTAAGTCCAGAATTTGCTTCATAGATCATCCTATTAAGGCCTAATGTTAGTCGTAATAACAATGGTTTATTCTTACTTATTTTTCCTTAATTCCATTGGGTTTCTCATTTCTTTCTTTTATTGATTAATCATTTAGTTGTGCTAATACCATTACTAGCATGTCTCTCTGTTATAAAAGTGATTGATAATTCTAGTAAAAAGGAACTTCATAGTTCATTGTGATAATAAGTGACGTAGTAGGATCCAATGATGGGTTTTGAAGCAACAAGACACTGAAGATGACCTGAATAATTGAGAGAACTGGGCAATTTCTTTCAATAGCTTGCTTTATGATATAGATTTCCCTGGCAAAAATGTTACCGCGATGTTCAGTTGTTTCCTCATTTTTTTCCTCTGAACTGAATGCAAATTGACTATCCTTTTTATAGTTTCAGATTGCAAATGGTTTGTTTAGTTGTGTCCTTCCGCTCCCTTTGAGCACGACTTTTATGGATCTGGCTTATCTTGTAGACTGATCTCAAAAATGGGCTCAAATATTTTACTTACTGAAATTTTGGTTTTTAATATTCTACAGGCCTTCTACCTGCTGTAATTCAACCTTATGATTTTTTTTTTCTTCTTTAATAGGTGTACATCATCGACTACGGATTAGCAAAGAAATACAGAGATCTTCAAACTCACAAGCACATACCATACAGGTATCAATTTTGAAAATCTACGTTGTTGACAATTCACGAGACTTTTCGTCTTTTCAACTATTTTACATCTCTATTTTATTTCCAACTATACGATTGTCTTGTGCTGAGTGCTGTGATGAGCATTTTAAATTTTGAATTGTATTTGCATTTCAAATTTGAGGATTACTTGTTCTGGTATTGCTACATCACACAATTGTTCTTTCCTGCCAACCCGAAACGGTAGTTGCTAAGAAAGTGGAGCGTAACTATAGAAGTTTACCATTCTCAACCAAGAAGATTTTCAACTATGGTATTCATCTTTAATGCTTCACTGACCTTTCCCTAACTTATTTTCAGAGAAAACAAAAATCTCACAGGAACAGCTCGTTATGCAAGCGTCAACACCCATCTTGGAGTTGGTGAGTGAACATTAATAAAAATCCAACCATTTACTAAATATGACCATCTTTCTGTCATTTTCATGCCTCGAAAAATTTCTCCGTCATTATGTGTCTTGAAAAAAAAAAAAAAAAGAGAACAAACAATTATAATTTTAGGATGTGCCTAAGTTCTTGACTTTTGCAATGCTTCTGAATTTTTTGCTTTCAGAGCAAAGCAGAAGGGACGATCTGGAATCTCTTGGATACGTCCTGATGTACTTTCTCAGGGGAAGGTTGAGGATAAGAGCTTAAATTCAGATTTTCTGATTTTCTTTTTACTTCCTGCTGCGTGATTTACTAATTGCATTTGATTTTTCTGTTTTAGTCTTCCATGGCAGGGCTTGAGAGCTGGCACTAAGAAGCAGAAATATGACAAAATTAGCGAGAAGAAGATGCTTACACCTATAGAAGTACTTTTAACTTCCTCCCTGCCAAACACACTTTTATGTATTGGATTCCCGTCAGGGAATTGATTTTCAATATGTCTAGTTCTTTTATGTTACTGTTCTTTTTATTTGTACTCATGAATATAATATAGTTGATTGAAGGATATTGTTTTGTTTTTATTGATAGTTGCTTTGCAAATCGTATCCATTGGAGTTCATATCATATTTCCATTACTGCCGATCATTGCAATTTGAAGATAAGCCTGACTATTCATACTTGAAGAGGCTTTTCCGAGACCTATTTATTCGAGAAGGTAAAATTTACATTTATCATTTATATTATCATTCCATTTACTCTTTCTTTTTATCAATGCAATATTCTCTGGAATGTTTTAAGTCTACCATTATGGTTTCTTGTTGACAATAGTGATAGTTGTTGCAGGTTATCAGTTTGACTATGTGTTTGATTGGACTATGCTGAAGTATCCGCAGATTGGCGGCTCTAGTTCTCGAGCACGAGTTAGTGTTCTCTTGATTATTCATGGATTAACCTTGCTTTATTTCAAGATAAGCTGCATATCTTATAATCCTGTCTTTATTAGGAAACAATGGGGAAATTACCTTTAAACCCTGGACCATCGGCAGAAAGAGTCGAGAAGACTCCAGGTCTGCTTCCTCTTACATGCACTTCATTTTGTTTCCTATCTGTCAAATCTACATTTAGGGGGTGTTTGACACTCATTTTAGTAGAAAAATGCGTTTTTGAATAATGATTGATAGAAGAATGTGTGGTTAAAAAGTAAGGAGAATTTTTAGATTTATGTGTAATATTATTTTATTGATAGAATGTGTGGTTGAAATGAAGAAAATGAAAAAGAATGAGAATGAGAAAAAAATGGGTGCCAAACGGGGGCTTAATGTGCTGTGCTGTGCTGCATAGACACATGATTGACTCTATGGAGAATTCCTTTTGTAGTCCCTAACCTCTTGCAGTTGGTGCAGAAGTGGCCCCAACCTGAGAATTGTAGCAAAATGTCACCACAACCTTTTAGAATAGGCGTTCCCTTCATCTTGAGAGACAGAAACAGTCTAAAATTCTATTAAGTTTGCATGTACAAGCCTTGTGTGTCAATATTGCAAGGCAAAATGGACAGAACATAATAATCTTAACCAAAAATAAAAAAAGGATGAAAAAAAAGAAAAGAAAAGAAAAGGTTGAAGGTGAAAATAAAAGGGGTTATTTTAAAATTGGTCAGGTCAAAGGGGCCAAATTCAACTTTGACTTTTCGAGTATTGAATATTTCACAATTGGCCTAATGATGTTCAAAAGACAAAAATGCTCTTAAGTGAATAAAACAATTACAAAATATGGTTTTATTAAAAAGACAATCCTACTCTTTTACTTAACAAATAAAAATCAAACACTCCCTACATAAAATTACAAATTCAGTTCAAA